GCAAGCCACTCCCACAAAGGAGGCCACACCCACAGAGTAGGTTCGAATTTTTTTTGAAACCCACCACTGAACTATTGCCTCCTATATCACAATTACACGGACAGCCATCCAGACATAGATTTTGGCAAAAGACTAGCTCAGAAGCCCAATTCGAATGGTGCGGGAGTATGAATGGATTTCCAGAAAAATGGCTGATTGTAGGAACCATTTGTGCTTTGGTTTGAGATGCAGTTCCATATCAATGATGGGTTGGGTGTGGATAATTATTGTTCTGCCTTGACTGGGTTACCAGTGTCATACGGTGCTTGGTTGTTTTTAAATGTAAGAGCTTTGGTGAGGCAGTGCCTTGAATACAATACTGCAGGTCAACTCTGCCCATAGCCAGGAGTTCGAACCTGACAGGCTCAAGGTTGACTCAGCCTTCCATCACTCTGAGGTTGGTAAAATTGTTGGGGGCAGGATGCTGATTCTGTAAACTATTTAAAGTAAAGTAAAGGTTTCCCCTGCACATATGTGCTAGTTATTCCCGACTCGAGGGGGCGGGGCTTATCTCCGTTTCAAAGCCGAAGAGCCAGCGCTGTCCGAAGACGTCTCCGTAGTCACGTGGCCGGCATAACTCCATGCCAAAGGCACATGGAACACTATTGCCTTCCTACCAAAGGTGGCTCCTATTTTTGTACTTGCATTTTTATGTGCTTTTGAATTGCTAGGTTGGCAGAAGCTGGGACAAGTCACGGGAGCTCATTCTGTTAGGCGGCGCTAGGGATTCGAACTGCCAAACTGCTGATCTTTCTGATCAACAAGCTCGGCGCCTGAGCCACTTAGAGAGGGCTATAAAGCACTATGAAGCGGTATAGAAGTCTTAGTGCTATGGCTATTGATCTCTCTACTTGCTCCACATTCATTCATTCATTCATTCATTTTCATTTTATTATATTTATATGCTGCCCTTTTCCCCCGAAGGGGACTCAGGGGTCGGCTAATAAATAAAATCAGGGAAGGGGGGGTACAGACAAAAAATAAAAAATGAAACATAATAATACATAATTTAAAAACACACAACAGTCATACCATTCGAAACGGGGGCAACAGCTTTTTAGCCCCAGGCCTGTCGGAACAGCCAGGTTTTAAGGGCTTGGCGGAAGGCCTGGAGGGTGGTGAGGGTTCGAATCTCCAGGGGAGTTCGTTCCAAAGGGTCGGAGCAGCCACAGAGAAGGCTCTCCTCCGGGTAGTCGCCAGTCGACACTGGCCGGCGGATGGAATTCGGAGGAGGCCTAATCTGTGGGATCTAATCGGTCTAGTGGAGGTGATTGGCAGCAGGCGGTCTCTCAAGTACCCAGGTCCAATACCATGAAGGGCTTTGTAGGTGACGACTAGCACCTTGAAGCGCACCCGGAGATCAACAGGCAGCCAGTGCAGCTCACGGAGGATAGGTGTTACGTGGGTGAATCGAGGCGCACCCACGATCGCTCGCGCGGCTGCATTCTGGACAAGCTGAAGTCTCCGAATGCTCTTCAAGGGCTGCCCCATGTAGAGCACGTTGCAGTAGGCTTTCTGAGCAACTACATAAAACATCCACTGGGTATTAGGGACCACACTTCTCACCATCTCAACCTTTGCCGTACTGGTGGGGTGATGGGAGTTGCTTTATGTGCTTAATGCACGTAGCGGCAGCATTAACCTAATGTAAAATAATGAACTTCTGAGCACCTGCAGAAGAAGTCTAACCTTTTTCATCCTTGCTGCCAGGCACCTTACGGCCGTTGTCGGGCTCTTCTTCTTTGGGCCTCTTGCTGGAACACTTTCCTTCTTGGCACTGCTGGGGTTGGCACTGCGGAGACATCTGCCCTGGGAGAAGCACGGGGTCTGGGAAGGAGGGATGAGCTAGAAGGCAGGGGCCAGGGTTCAGCAGAGACAAACCGGGAGGGAGCATGTGCAGATCCATCCCAACGGGGGAGCCTGCTTGGAAGGGCATGGTGACCGAGACATCCATGGGCGAGACACAGAAAGGCATCAGCGGCGGATGGCCAGGAGCGGAGCCAGAGGGAGCAAGGACTTCAACGCTGGTCTCGGAAATCCAGCCGGTCTCCATGCTTTGGGGCAAGCAGACAGTCTTTTGCATGGAGCCCGAGGTACTGTGGTAAGTTCTCAAGTTTGGGGCGAAATGATAGTGGCTGTAACTGGACGCCGCACCGAGGCTTGGTTTGACGGGCTGGATGCTGGAAACCATGAGAGAGGTGGCTACCTGAGCCCCTCGAGATGGAGCGACCGAGAACAGCCGGACGTTTTTGTATTGCTGGGGGTGAGGGCTACCATGGAAGAGTGGAAAGAAGAAGGGCCCTGGAACCGGTTCGGGGTGGGCACTAACCGATTCTGGGGGTACGTGGGCTCGCTTCAAGGCTATGTCCCTAGAGGCCTTGAGACCCTGAGGAACATAGGGAGGCAGGAAGTACGAGGGATGTGGCTGGAAAGGGCTGGGAATGGCAGGGTTGGGAATGGCTTCCATAGGGTGGGAGAAGCTCGGGGGCCCCATGAGGGCAGAGATGGTGTTGGCAGGGGGCAGGAGGCCTGAAGGGGAAAGCATGGGGCTAGACTGGGGGGCATTTCTTAACACCATCAAGGCTTCGGCGGCCTCTTTCTGGAGCTGTTGTTCAGAAAGGGGCGAGAAGAAAAAACCTCGGGTGGGCCAGACGGAAAGATGAGCAGAAGAATTGGGCTGAAAGAGAGCAGGACACACAATTAACCTCACAATCAACAAAGAGACGTCAGCAGGACCCAAATTCTATTTTCAATTCAGGATAACAAGAGTTGGAAGGGGCCTTGGAGGTCTTCCAGTCCAACCTGCTGTTGAAGCAGGAGACTTCCATACCAGGGGTGAAATGCTCCCGGTTCGGACTGGCTCACCCGAACCAGTAGTTCCAACGATCAGCTGTGCAACGATCAGCTGATCGTCCGGTAGCATTTTTTTTACTACCGGTTGGGGTGAACCAGTAGCTCTGACAATCAGCTGTGCAACGATCAGCTGTGCTGCACGATTAGAAATCAAGCTGCAGCACAGCTGCCGGAACTACTGGTTCACCCGAAACGGTAGCTCAGTTGATCAGCTGTGTTGGTACGCATGTGCATGAAGCTAAGCGGTAGCAGACTTCAGAGCATTTCACCCTTGTCCATACCATTCCGGATAAGTGGCTGTCCAATCTGTTTTTCCAGCCAATGAGGAAACCCTACGAGGGCAGGATAAACATAGCCTCTCCTAACTCATCCTAAGATAACAGAGACAGATGTTCTGGCAAAATATACAAGGCCCTGGGCTTTTTCTAGCTTTAGTTTCGATTAAGCCCAAGGCTGGCTTAGGAGGTGGCAGGTGACCTCGGTTCTTCTTTTATAGAACTTTCAATTCAAGTGGAATAAAGATGACATGTGGCTTGCTTATGTAAGTACCCGATGCGGAAACACTGTCCCAGAAATTAGTCATTTGACCACCTGCCGGTGACAAAGAGCAACATTGTTTGTTTTCATTAATCCTTTTATGGATAACTTTTAGGCTGCCTTATCCCCTGGTTAGGCATTCTGTTTTATTCATTTTGCTCAATCCGTGCGTTCTGTAAGTTATTGTACATCATTGCATCGTCTGTAGATTCTTGCAAGGATCTGGGCTAAACAGGAAGCAAACCCGCAGAGAATGCCTGGCTTCCTGCAATCTACTTTAACCCTACAGCCACAGTAACAACTTAATTGCTGTGCCTATATAAACGGCCATGCCCCGAAACAAATATTCCATATGAATGGCTTAATGGATTGGCCCAGCTCCCAAGATCTGTTAAAATGGGACTAGCTTCCCACAACATGGCAAACCACAAACCAGAGGTGCCTGTGGCTAGCCACAATGATTAAAGCTGCGTCACATGTTGCAATGTGCATTTTGCCATTTGAGCCTCCTGCAAATGCCTATGCCACAGAGGGCCTGGGTAGTTTAGCTTAGCTTTGCGTGCTGGCTGAATTCAGCCGCGGCACGACAAAACCGCGGTCCACTAAAGCGTGCCCGATTAAAGCGCGTACCTGACGTCATCAGCAGCACGACAAATACGACCGCGGAGAAAAAAGGGCGCTTTAAAAAGCGCTTTTAAAGCAAGCCGATTCACGTAAAGGTAAGGGTTAGGTTTAGGTTTAGGTTAAGGGTTAGGTTTAGGGTTAGNAATGTCAATAAAGGTTGTAAGATAAGCATTTCTTATAATTTGAGGCTTTAGATCTCTGCATTTCTTCCACATTTAAACGAAGACTGTTTTGCCTTGTTCCACAGATAAATGTGCTATATGTTGTAGTTAAGTAGAAACTAATGTGGTAGTAATTGTTGCAGTCTCTCCATCAGCCACATGAGGGTCCCAGTTTTCTACAAATCTTCAAGCAAAAAGGATGGTTCCTAGCTCGGCACTAAAGGCAATTTTGGGGGAATAGCAGCTCACTTAAATTGGGGTCACAGCCCTATGAGAAGGTGACATTTGCCAGCTAAGGGGGGAAATCTATCATGGGATAGCTGCACAATATGTTGCAGAAACAGATGTAGTAAGAGACATCTGATTATGGAAATAAAACCAAAAATTCATAGACAGGTTAAATAAATTTGTGACTAAAGAGGGTTTATACATGATTAAATGTAAAATGGTTTTATCAATGCCATGTATTATTTAAATAATACATTCACAGCTATCATTCATATCCTCAAAGGTATTTGTAGGTGTTTATCCAAGTGATATGCTTAATTTCTCATTTCCCAGAATTCTGCTACCTTTAACATGGAGCTGAAAGTTTTCACATAACAAAATATTTGGAGTGCACAATGTAAGGATATTGGGTTTAAAACCTAAATGGCCCCAATTAAAGAATTCTTTGTAAAACATGATCGAATTCTAAAAGTCTTTGAAAACTGCAACCGTTTGATAAAAGACAGTCGACGCTCCAGCAATACTTCTCAACGTTTTATTGGCAGCAAACTTTTGGGCCACGAATTCAACGCACGTCTCTTCTCCTGAATCAATCATGTGCAAGATCCCGTAAGTGGATCAAATTCTTAGCGTGTCCTAAACCTGGTTTGGCTTATCAATCATCTCTCTCTGATTTGAGAAAACGATGGGAAACACCCTTTTCAAAAAGGAATGCAAACAAACTTGGCTACTAAAAGCAAACTTCCTGTTGTCTAAACTATAACAATGGTTCAAGTCAAAACAAACTCGGCCTTCCATCGGGGCACAGAACTAGTTAAAAAGGAATCGACGGTGTTAAAGGATCTGGACTTGGGGCATTACACCAATAAAAGCTACCAGCAATTGCAAGAATTCAGTTGCAGGTAGAATGAAAAACAAGCTAAGGCTGCAACCCGAAGTAGAAGCCACCTCTCTTTCTCAAAGACTCCCAATCAGAAGACTAACTGGGCAGGGAGATGGAGCCCATTTGGCCGATGCTCAAAGACACCGAAGGGGAGCCGTTGGCCTAGTGGAGGTGGCTTGGCTGCTGGGGGTTTTCTGAGACCTGCTGAACAGACTGGCTAGGGGCTGGTTTGGATGCCAGGCAGTCGGGGTCTGCTTCGGTTGAATCTAAAAAGAACAGAGGAAGCCTGTTAGATCATTGACACTACATGCCGTCGAGCTCCTATTGCAGAGGTGGGTTCCTACCAGTTTGCACCAGTTCGGTAGAACCGGTTCGCCAAATCTACCGAACCGGTT